ATGGAGATGTTTATTAATAAAACCGCTAAATTTTAAACAAATTATATTATTCTTACTTTAGAATTCCATCAAGCTCGTTACGTAGTTATTTTCTACTTCGGAATACTTCATGCATGACATCGTTAAAACTGCAATAACTCAGTCTGAATCAAATATCGGAAACTCAGACTTTATTAAATAAAAGTGTAAAAATTCTCACAAATTAAATAACTACTGCTTAGAGCAGGGATTGTAGATAAAGCATTTTTTCTGTTTCTATATATGTAAAGCGGAAGTATTTGATGTACCTGATGAGTGAGAGGTATTGAGGGTTTTATGAGGAAGTATACGGAAATAAAAGAAAATGCGACTAATACGATAGCGTTATATAATAAATTATTGCAAAAAGAATGCCAACAAACATCATTATACAATTAAAAAAAATGATATTAAAATCCATCAAGGATTCACTACGGTATGTAAAATTAAATAAAATAAAATTAGACTAAACTATAGCTTATTGCGTATCTGCTTCAAAAGAGTTCTTACATAGCATTGTTAAAACTCAAATAACTCGTTCTGAATCAGACATCAGAGACTCAGCACTCATTTCATAAAACCGGTAAAACACTGACAAATTTAATGCACACGTACAATTCAACTTGAAACTTTATTATCTAGCTCATTACGTAGATAGTTCATGCATGACATTGTTAAAACAGCAAAAACTCAGTTCTAATCAAATATTGGAAACTCAGACTCTATTTAATAAAAGTATAGGAATATAGACAGATTCAAAAGAGTTAGTGATTGCACTAATAAAAGCTTACGTAACAATAACAAACTGATTTTACCTAAATGTCGTTTGGCTAAAGTTAGTAATTCGTTTTATGGCAATTGCGTAAGGTTTTACAATAAAATACCAGAGTATGTTATAAATCTGCCAGAAAAAAGATTTAAATGTCAAATAAAACAGTTCCTTTTGCAAAAAAGCTTACTATAAAATTGAAGAATTCGTTAACGATAATAATGTTTTTATAGAAAAACTTTAAATCCATAGCACTGACAATATTATCTGATTACATTAATAATGAGTGCGTAGCGACTTCTATGTTGATTATCGCATGCCTCTTACTTGTTATACTGTAATTATTTATACAAAAAAAAAACATCTATTAAAAAGAGCAACACACAAGTTTCTTGCTCATTCTTCTTGTGATGAATCTGCATTCCGAATTAGTGGTAGAATCAAAATATGACTATTCAAAAGTGCTTGTAATGAGTTTATTTGAATAAAGATTATTTCTATTTCTATAAAAACTGTCACAAATTAAATAACTACTGTTTAGAGCAGCGTAAAGCGTTTTCCGTGTTTCTATGCATTCATAAATGTATAAATAAATATATATAAATGCAATTAGACTTTAAGCTGCGTAGCTGTTCGCTACATCAAAAGAGTTTCTGCATAGCATTGTTAAAACTCAAATAACTCATTCTGAATCAGACATCAGAGACTCAGCACTTATTTCATAAAACCGGTAAAACACTGACAAATTTAATGCACACGTACAATTCAACTTGAAACTCTATTATCTAGCTCATTACGTAGGTATTTGCTACTTCGGAACAGTTCATGCATGACATTGTTAAAACTCCAATAACTCCGCTGGAATCAGGTGACCTGGCACACAAAGCGAGTTAAAAATCGCACCACGGCGCTGGTAAGCAAAACGACCAAAAATACCGTTTGACAGTTTGCCGGTTGCACTTTTTTCGGGTATTTCGTTCAGTGGTATATTGTGTTGGCGGATTTCAGATATGATTTTGCAAGGTGAATGTTGAATTCGTTGTGTTGGGAAATTCTATTATTATACTAGGTATAACCCGCGGTGCAGAATATAGTTTATATTAATAATGTTTTATTTATTCTATAAATGTTTTTTTTATACCGGTCAAGTATTTTCTGTTACTAATAATCGCCTAGTGGTCGAAATTATAACGTAATCATTACATAGTATAAAACAAAGTCGCTGTCGCTGTCTGTCCGTCTCTATGTATGCTTAAATCTTTAAAACTACGAAAGTGAATTTGAAGTGATTTTTTTAATATATAGAGTGATTCAAGAGGAAGGCTTATATTTATATTGTATATATAGGTATATAATACATGTACACCTGGGCGAAGCCGGGGCGAGTAGCTAGTAAAAATGTAAATAGTTATTTGAACCAGCAATAATAAAGAAATAAAAGATGTAATAAAATAACAAATACATAGTATGTGTAATGTTTTTTTTTATTGATATAATGTGTTATTTTGTATAATTAAAAAAAAATATTAGCACCCTGCACACCTTCTCTATGTAGACTATAAGTGCGCGAAAGTTCATGCTTCTCTGTCCGCGCAATTTTTATAGAAAAGAATACAAAATTTAGGGTTCAAGTATTAATCTTCTTAAATATATATAACTCAAAGGTGACTGACGTAGTGATCTATCAACGCACAGCCCAAACCACTGGACGGATCGGGCTGAAATTTGGCATGCAGGTAGATGTTATGACGTAGGCATGCGCTAAGAAAGGATTTTGACTAATTCTACTCCGAAAGGGATAAAATAGGGGATGAAAGTTTGTATGAAACTTTGTTTATTTTAAACCAATCGGGCTGAGACTTTGGATGCATAAAGTTACTATGATGTAGGCATCCCCTAAGAAAGGATTTTGATAAATTCCACCCCTAAGGGGATAAACTAACGCGAGCGAAGCCGCGGGCAAGAGATAGTATAAAGATATATGTAAGACTTATCTGTTAGAATTTACGTGAAGTTACTTGCGTGTTTACGTATCTGCGTTACCTGGGAAAAGATTATTTAGCGTAACTAGCAGTTAAGCATTTGATCGTAATATATATTGAAACTACTGAATCGTACAAAGTTTGTTCATTAGTAAATAAGTAGTTTTGCCTGGGATCTTGTTTCATAACATGTTCTATGCAATAGTTTTAAAAATATTTAATGACTATCTCGTATACAACTTTAACAAGTCGTATAAGTTTTAACGTCTAATGTTACCCTAAAATACGGTACGAGTATATTCTCGTGTGCAGTCACTCTATATATACCGTGAAGTAGGTTCATTCAAAACTTCGATGCTGGCGATATAAAAATTTTCATAATGCGAACCGCAGCTGATGCAATATTAAATTTTAAATATCGAACGCTTTAGCCGCCGGTCGACATTCAATTTGCCGCGAAATCCCTGTCTAGTGTTGCGATTACACTGATTAATGCATCGGTAAATTTTGTATTATATTTTTAATATATACCTAGATGGACTTCACGAGATATTGAAAAAAACCGGTAAATTTTTAATATAAATCTAGATGGACAATACTTCAATAGATATTGAAAGAGCTTGTTTTGAGCGGTATGGGTTTTATAGCGGTAGTTACGTAAAACCGAACATAATATTTTTTGCTAACAAAAAACTGACATCAACTTGAACTCACTTCATGCTAAACCAAAACATTTATAAAAAAATTTAGAGAACTAAATAATCGTATAAGACATTGAACGACGGACAAACCAAATTTATCTGTTATTTTATAATAATTTAAATAAATGCAAGGACTGTTAAAATAATGATAGAGTACATAATATTGTACTGAAACAGAAAATAATTTAATTTTAATTAAAAAATAGGGACACTTAATGTTACAGTTATAAAATTTTACCATTGTATAACTTAATATGGTATGCAATCATAACAAGTAAATATATAAATGAGTAAATCAAAGTCACACGCTATAAAAAAATATGAGGCTAAATGAACAAAAAAAACCAAACTCATATCTACAATAGAATTTCAATCAAAAGTTTATTATTGGAAACATAATTCTTCTTATTCTCTAATTCTTAAGCGGTAAATACGGTATTATTTTTATAGAAAACAACAATAACAATTTATTTGCACAAGTAGTTAAAATATGGCATATGATTATTACGATATAACAACTTACATTAAACTATTAATATTTTTTATATTTCTTTTTTATCGATAATTTCTATGAAACTATAGACATCACTATTTGATTCCATATAGCCCGCTCTAAGGCGTATGTACACGACAATAAAATAACCATTTGGTTAGCGTCGATTTAGAGACGCGCCAATTCTGTGTCGATTATGAGGATATTTCTTTTATTAGATTAAATGTTAGGAATCGTTTTATGATAATATTTCCAGGGTTGCGTATTTGGAACATCTCGGGTAAAACGTTTTATTATTATCTTTATAATCGCATAACTTCATTATTCAATCTATAGTGATAACTTATAAATAATTTATATGTTGCGTAAAATATTCAACAATCGAAACATCTTGTGATTGAGTGTTATCTATATATATTATGAATACATTTACAAAAAAAAATGTATCTAAATAAATATATACATATTCATATTCATAACACAAGTTCTATTGTATTACACTGTATATATTTTCCAGGGATATTATTACTATTATCATTAATTATATAGCGTTTGTAACAAAAGATGGATGGATTGTGTGAAAGATGATATGAATAAAAGAAGAGTATGTTCAGATATGACGATCGATAGAGAGCAGTGGAAGAGAATGACATACTGCGCCGACCCCAAATAATGGGATAAAGGCAAGGCAATGATGATGATATAGCGTTTGTAACAGATGAACGGTTACACACATGAGAGTGGTTGAGGCATGTGCCTCAATACCTTGTAATTCCACTGCCATATCTCACACTTAAACACAAATAATGTTTACAAAGCAAACTGCGTTGCGACTGAAATCATGACATTACTCACGCAGACGACTACATCCGAACCCGCTTGATAAAAAAAAAGAAATATAAAATTTGAAAATGGAATATAAAATGTATACAAGGAATATTAGAATTTAAAAAAGGAACATTGAAAGCCGTCCGTGTGCCCGCAGCGTTAGGGAAGCCGTAGGGGCGCCACCGTCGCCCGTCAATCGATAGCAACTCGTTGCCAAGCAACGATCACGTTGCAAAATAAACAATCAAATCGGAACCCGGCATAAAGCAAATTTACTTTCTTATTTTATTACTTGTGTCAACAATTTAGATCGATATTATTGAATTATTTACCCGCCCGTGCATTGGTGTATCATGTTCTTTTGACATTATCAGTTTTTTGGTTAATATGATGTTGTTACCTGTATGTGGGTCGAGTGTGTGTGGGAAGGATTTCCGACATTCTCTGAAGAAACCGAGTCCAAATTATCCGTATGGCTATAAGACGAAGAAACCCAGAGTTGTCCCGGCGTTCACTATACAAGGTACTTAACAATGTGAAAGTAATTAGCTATTACCTGCGACTCTGTTTTTTTTTTTTTTTGAGATTACCATATAGTGATACAAATGGTCTTTATGTTAAATTTCATTAAGATTAGTTCAGCCGTTTTGTTACGAAATTATAAACAGATACATAAGTTTATTCCTCCTTCTTCTTGTGATAGACTACTTTCCAAATAAATGGTAGAACAAAAAATATATGCCTATTCAAAAGTGTTCACATTAAACTTATTTGAATAAAGATTATTTCTATTTCTATATAAAATAATATATGTAATAATAATGTATAATAGTATATGTTTAGATTAAATATAAAACATATAGTAGAGCAAAAAATGAAATATATTTTACAGCGCTGCAGAAAAATACTCGCGTTGTACCGCCGCCAAAATGCGGTGTATACGACCCTTTACCCTCGAGACCGACCATGTTCAGAAAGTGTTACCAGCGCGGGGAATTCCCTGTCTCCATAGAATTCACAAACATTGGGAAACGCCTCGCTTGGAAGGTAATCTCATTCCTGGCTACTATCCATTCAGGGATGCCAATCACACTATTACAAGTACGAGACTTTCAGTCTACAGTACGAAAATATCACCCTTGTACTATGTTGTACGAAATTTTTACATACGAAAATAGGTCTATATGCTGATTAGAATCAAAATGAACTAAAGTTTTGATAGATCCCTTGATCCATTTGTACTTTGCTTGCGTTAGGATTCCTAGTTCATAGGACAAGAGTCTTTTGGTCTACGGTACTAAAATATCACCTTTATACTGTTGTACGAAATTTTTGCATACGAAAATAGGTCTAAATATAATGATCTATGTACTGATTAGAATCAAAATAAACTAAGATTTTGAAAGTAGGTAACCCTGGATTCCTTTGTACTTTGCTTGTGTTAGAATTCCCAGTTCATAGTATACGAAACATTTGGTCTAAGTTACGTAAATATCACCCTCGTACTATGTTGTAGGAAATTTTTACATACGAAAATTGGTCTAAATATAATGATCTACATGATGATTAGAAACTAAGATTTTGAAAGTAGGTAACCCTAGATCCATTTGTACTTTGCTTGCGTTAGGATTCCTAGATCATAGCATACGAGAGTTTTGGTCTAAGTTACGTAAATATCACCCTCGTACTATGTAGTAGGAAGTTTTGACATACGATAATAGGTCTAAATACAATAATCTACATCCTGATTAGAATCAAAATAAACTAGTTTTGAAAGTAGGTAACCCTGGATCCATTTGTACTTTGCTTTCGTTAGAATTCTCAGTTCATAATGTACGAGACTTTTGGTCTACTGTACAAAAATATCACACTCGTACAATTATGTTGTACGAGATTTTGACGTACGAAAATACGTTTAAATAGAATTATTTACGTGCTTTTTAGAAACAAATTACGCTAAAGGTTTAAAGATTAGTTGCCTAACCATGGTTCCATTTGAACTTTGCTTGCGTTATGATCTCTACCCTGTCCATACCTTGCCTGTCCTACCCTGTCCATAGGGTATTCAGTACATTTATTGAACATACTCTGGTATATTATTGTCTAATATATACTGTATTATCATATTATTATAGTATTTAATTCCTGATATTGTTGTATTTGAATTAATAATTATCTTCTTTCGTAGGTGCCTATCGAGAAATTAGATTTTCATCATTACCTGCCAATGTTCTTCGACGGTTTAGCAGAAGGGTCGTATCCTTTCAATTTCATCGTTGAACAAGGAATCCACGACTTGGTTACTAAAGGATCTTATAAGGTGCTACCTGTGGTGCCACAGCTTATCATTCCTATCAAAAGTGAGTTTAATTTCTAGTTATAATTATTCCCGAATAGCTTTTATTAATAGAGAAGAATTAAGGTTGAAAATTCCAACTGAAAATCAGCGTTAGAAATATTTTTTTTACGGTATTATGATGAGTTGTGATCGACATTTGCCTTTGTGTTGTAATGTGTGTAAATTGCTGTTTTTTATAAATATTTTTTGTCAATAAATTCTATTCTAAAAAAGTTACTAAATATTTTATCTATCTATTTATCTACTTAACAATTTTGTGGATATAATTAAAAACAAAATTTTTAAAATGAAGCCACCTGCAGAAGTATGGTAAAGCATCTATACAAATAAATAGAATCAAGTGTCTGTTTGTAATTTCAAATTAATAGCTTTTCATTAAAGGAATATGAAAGTGTTATACACTTACAGCAAAAAAATCATTTATGAACTCTTTTTGTGTCTGTCTCTGTTCTTGCTAATCTCTGAAAAGGCGGAGTCGAATTTGAAGAGACTTTCACTATCTGATAGCTAATATTATAAAGAATAACTTACGCTACTTTTATTTAAATAAAACTAAATTTCTCGTTCACTAAATCACCGGTAACATTGTAATAGCTAGTAAAATATAACATAGCACATCTGACAATCGCTATCAACAAAACAGAAATCGACTAGTGTTACGACATTTATCAAATATATTCCTGTACAAATTGGTTAGGATCCTGTTCAACGGATATGTTGATTTACGGCCGGGCCAAGTCAGCAACCGGAGTTCCAGACTTGAATGCCTGCATGGAACTTGATCCGCGTCATTCAGATTGAATTTGACTTAGGGCGATGTGAAAAAAGTAATGAATTTTCTCGTAATCGAAATTCTAAAGAGAGTGTTTGTTTACAGTTAAGTGATTTAAGATTTTTTTTATTGAAATCTGATATGGACGTCAGAAATTAGATTGTAAGGACTGTGTTGATTTAGACCTAAAAGATCTGAAGCACATGGCAATAGCCCTTTAATAAAAACAAAATGGCCGTGAACCTGCCACATGCGTTGCTATTTAGGTTGCAATAATAATTATTGCTAAAACAATTACAATTATCTTCACTGCCATATATCATTATCTATACATATAAATAAAATTGGAGTGTCTGTTTGTAATATTGAAATAACCATTTTTTACTACATGCATATGAATATAGTTACGGTACATATACCAAAATAACATTTTTTTACAATTTTTGTCTATCTGCTAATCTCTGTAATGGCTGGACTGGTTTTGACGGGACTTTTTTTGGCAGGTAGCTGATGTACTAAGGAGTAACTTAGGCTACTTTTATTTTAGAAAAATAAACTTAAATTCCACGCGGATGAAGTCACGAGTTATTATAAATATAGTCTGCAAAGCAAGCTTTGCGACAAAACAGAATAGAAAATTCTTTAGTAAAATTCAAATGGATTTTACGCACTTATGAATAGTTAGTCATATTTGTTTTTTTAATAGTAATAGTTGAGATAGAGATATGCTGATCTCTGTGTTCTGAAGAAGACGTTAGTTAAGATAAAATCACAATGGAGTCACTGAACAGAAGAAAACATGTAGATTAAATTTATATGCTATAAAAGAATTAATTCACTTAAATACATAAAAATATCACACAATGATTTGATGACATTAGCAATTAACAGCTTCATTTTTGGATAAGAGATAGTTAGTATCTATGAAGATAATAATTTAAGGAAGGTGTTACATATTAATATGGATAAGGGCAGAGGAATGCCGAAAAAGAAATGGATGGACTGCGTGAAAGATGATATGGTAAGAAAGGGACTAAATAACGAGATGACTGCGAACAGGGATGAATGGAAGAGAAAAACATATTACGCCGACCCCAAATAAGGAAGAAGCAGATGATTAGATTGTCGATATCAATCCTTGTGTAACATTTTTCTTTCAACGAATATTGCAGCCAAATCATACATGAAATTGTAACAAGCAGATAGCCAGATTTCGCGTTTGTAATATTAGTATATATGATGTTATAACTGTTGTATAAGATATATATAATAACTAGCTTTTGCCTGCGGCTTCGCTCGCGTTAATTTGACATCACTACATATACAGGCAATAACACATTATAAAATTAACAGAGAATATGAAATTAATAAAAGAACAAGAGAAAAGTAACAGTAATAGTGAATTTATACAAATATATACATATACATGATCTTCAATAATAATTAATTGTTATTTAAAGAAGGGCTCACTTAGTTGGTGTATCGCTGATTTAATATTTTTATATTATATTATACTAGTTTTTGCCGGCGGCTTCGCTTGTTTTAATTTATCTTCTTAGGGGTGGAATTCATCAAAATCCTTTCTTAGGGGATGCCTATGTCATAGTAGCTTTATGCATGCAAAGTCTCAGCCCGATCGGTTTAAAATTGACAAAGTTTCATACAAACTTTCAACCCCTATCTTATACCTTTGGGGGTAGAATTAATCAAAATTCTTTCTTAGCGGATGCCTATGTCATAACAGTTAACTGCATGCCAAATTTCAGCCCAATCCGTCCAGTCGTTTGGGCTGTGTGTTGATAGATCACTACGTCAGACACCTTTGAGTTATATATATTTAGATAACAATGTTATTGTTGCAGATGCTCTAGCAACAAAACGCCCGACAGTCCTGTGTCACGTCCTCAAATGCATCCAGATGCTTGTGACCGGATGTGACCGAGTGGGAGAAGCACTAGTGCCTTATTACAGACAAATTCTGCCCACGCTGAACCTATTCAAAGATAGAAACCGTATGTATATTGCATCATATGTATTATTACTATGGTAGTATGATGGTAATTAGCGTTTACAGTTAATATTGCTATGAAAGAACTACATTTATTCTATTAAGGTAAGATTTAATAGCGTCATATAGGGGTTTATAGAGATAAATTATTATAGCTTATTTTTGTCTCTAAATATAGGAAGAATCATAAATAATAAAAACTGAATAAATGTCTTAATGATTTGGATCTACTATATAAAATAGTTGGGTTTAGCATTCTATGTTTTTCAGGTTTGATAGTTACAAATTATACCTAATATAATAATTGGCAAAATCGGAGTTACCGGATGGTCGCGAGTTCGATTCCTAACACGGTACATTTGTATTCAAGTAATTGTTTATATAGGTCTGGATGTTTTCTATGTATATTATGTACGCATTTATAAAATAAATGTATCTATGTATTTATATCAGTTGGCTAATACCTAAAATATATGTTCTGCTTAGATTGGGACTACATAACATTGTGTGAATTATCCAGGGATAGAAAAAATAAATAAAATACGACCGCTTAATGATAACAATAAAGGGTAATGATAAAAAAATAATGTAAAGTCAGGTAAATATAATAGCAATAACGCACGTAATTTGCAAAACATTAACTCTGAGTGAACGAAGCAGCACAAAAACGTTCCGAGTCCAACCGCAACTATTTTGTAACAAGAGAAATGAGGCATTTGCGGCCCTCGTACACATATTGTGTAAAAGCTCATTAGACAAACATGTCAGCTTAGGTGCGGCTGCAACTATTTTGTGGTTATTAACAACACCAAAGTAACAATGTTACCTACTGCTACTTACAATATGACTTCGTTTTCACTTTTTAAATTTAAAAAGTAAGTTTCCAGCTACTTACAAAATGACATCGTTTTCACTTTTTAAATTTATTTTAAAAAGTAAGTTTCCAACAATAATTTAGTAATAAATTTATGGATTTACTTATTTAGATATTTACCTTCTGTTTTGTATAATTAGTTGTCTCTGTAGAATATGAAACGATATACAAAAAAATGCTAATTATAAGTAAATGCTTTTAATGAAAACTTGATTTTGGTTAAAGTAAATTTTAGGCCATATAGATTCTCGTATATAGCAGTCAATAATTTAAATAAATATAGTATTTTTTAAAAACAATATAAGGAAAAACCTCTTAAAAATTCTATACCATATAGAAATCTCCAATAAAGCTTATTCCTTCTTAAAAGACCATCAAGGTACTTGCAATTGCCCTGGCGTTGCGGGTGTTCATGGGCGGCAGTAATCACTTATCATCAGGTGAGCCGCAAGCTTGTTTGTCCCTAAAAAACTCATATATATTCATATTTTCACTTTACGTTGTTTTTTCTTCTATACTGTTGTATTCATGTTCACTCGTTGGTATACTTGCGTTTATTCTCTATGATATAAAAAAATTATGATTAGTCATAAGGATATTGAGTTTTATGGGAAACTCGTTCTGCTTTTTTTCGAGCTGCTTCTTTGTGGAATAAGCTACCCAAGTACATTCAAGACAGTCCTTCCATCACTACTTTTAAAAAAAGATTAAAATCTTATTTCCTCTCTACCAATACATGAAGCTGTTTCAAAAACAATCGTCTTATTAATATTTAATCGCTTAATGTATTTATGTATATGTTTAGGTTGTTATGTATTTATATAGTCATATATATTTGCTTTAATATGTAGTATAGTATCGTTTTATATATGTATTATAACATGTAGATTTGTTAACTGTACATAGTAATATTCTATTTGTGTATTTAGAACTCTTGCACTACCATTATCCACTAAATATGTCCACAGTTACAGCGTTAGGTTGGCTGGAAGAGATCTCTTTCAGATAAGCCCACCCTTGCTCACATTTTTATTTATAAATATCTTGTTTCTTACTATATATAAGTGCAATAAAGAATATATAATGACGTTTTCAATTTGTTACTTCTACGGTTGGTATACATGTTCGCTTAGGCAAAGCAGACGTCGACGCGCGTAGAATTCCCTAACAATGCGGTTGGGTGCCACTCGCGGTGTAGCGATCGTGACGTGCTCGAAATTTGGTGCGGCGTGACTCTGCCACATGTAATTAATCTACTCTGATGCTCTGACAAGTCTATTAGGTTGAAAACAATATCTCCAGAACATTCTCCACGTGTCAATTATTTTAGTACATCCCATGATTGATAACAGCCAATCAACTGTAAGACTATATGGTTCTTATGTGCAAATATTAAAGATCATATTTCGATCGAAACGTCTTCTCGCTAATTGGCCGTGATATAATAGGTGTAATATTATGATTTAATAATTTTATAACGCTAGAAATCAGTAGAGCGTTCCATTAAATTTTGTTGGCTCTGATAACTTCCCTAGAATCTCAACTATTAATAAGCGGAATATGAAAATGTTGCGTACAATTTAATCACGCTTGACGATTTACATTATTATATTGAAATTCGGTAATATGTGAACGTTAATAAGAAAATACGTCTATCAATAATTATAATTGTAAGAAATTCAAATTCAAATTCAAATTCAAAATATCTTTATTCATGTAGGTCTATTACAGACTCTTATGATATGTCAAATCTACCGTCAGTTCGGAATGATATCGAGATGAGAAGAACTGACAAGAAACTCAGCTCGTAATTTTTTTCAAATAATAGTGGAACATGTTTATGATAAATACAGTTATTAAAATTCAAATTTGGGATAATAGAGTGACCACCAGCATATGCTATCGCAAAGAACAAAAAATTTAATCAGTGTTCACAAACTGAACAGACCAGTCCCCACAAGCAGCACCCGTTCACGAGTATGACGTATGAGCCAGCCATCATTGTACTCAACCATATTTGAGGGAGCACATCGACCCGGCCCACCACGCCGCCACAAGTTTGAACTTTATAGCGAGCATGACTGTTTCAGGTTACTCCACTTTTAAATTATATTATTTACAGCATAGGCTGTACAAATGACATCGTTTTCACTTTTTACAATATTAAATTTACATTATTTAATTTACAATATGTCATTACAAAATTTATAATAAGTTTCTTTATTGTTATTACATTATCCATGTCAATGGGAAAAATTATATGTCTCATAACAAAAGTTAAAATTGTAATTATGTCCACACATTGTAGTCATTTAAGTAGTCGTTTATTTTATAATAAGCTTTAGAGCAAAGTGTTTTTTTTACAATGTATCTTAAATTTGGCTTAAATTAAATTTAAAACAATATCTGGCAATTTATTATAAAAACGTATACAATGTCCCATGAAAGATGTACTTACTTTTTAAGACGATAACTAGGCATATTTAATTTATTTTTATTCCTTGTATTAAAAGCGTGTAAGTGACTATTTTTTGGAAATAAATTTAAGTTTTTGCGTACATACATAATATTTTCATATATATATTGAGAGGGAACAGTAAGAATACCTGTTTCTTTAAAAAAAAATTGCGTTCTCTAAGAGATTCGCGACACGGTAAATTATATATTGAACGAATTGCTCTTTTTTGTAATATAAAAATTGATTCTACATCAGCCGCTCTTCCCCACAATATATTATGGACACAATACATTATACTATGGAAGTAACTAAAATACACTAGTTTCGCTGTTGCAGTATCAGTCAACTGTCTAATTTTTTGATAGCAAAAGCAGCCGAGTATAGTCTTTTGGCTAGTGTGAATATATGTATACTGCAATATATTATCTATTACAATACCAAGAAACGAAGTCTCATAACAAAGTCCAAAACATGATGATTCATACTAACAGTTGTCGTTACTTGTTTTACATTTGTAAAGAGAATTTAACACATTTTGTTTTCATTGAATTAAGCGCTAGATTATTTGATGTAAACCAGTTTAGAACATCCTCAAGAGCAATATTTATATTATTAAAATCCTTTGTATTTCTTTTCACTATATAAAATAAGTGATGTGTCATCAGCAATACAATACTATGTCAAGTATGTTTTGAAACTGGTATGGTAAGTCATTTATATAAACAAGAAAAAGAAATGGGCCAAGTATAGAACCCTGGGGTACACCCATTTTTATAAATGACCCCTTGGACTTGCTTCCTTTAATGTCTACCACTTGAATTCTATCGCGCAAATATGATCCAATGAGTTCTGAGGATTTTTCTCTAATTCCATAATGCTCTAGTTTGCGTAATAATATCCTATGGTCAACGCAATCAAACGCTTTAGAGAGATCACAGAAGACACCAATGGCATCGTGTGAATCTTCCCAGGCACCGAAAATACTTTGTATTAAGTTAATGCCTGCATCAGTAGTAGACCGTCCACTCATAAATCCAAATTGCTGTTTATGAAATAAATCATGTGTATTAAAATGAGCTAACATTTGTGTAAGTAGTATCTTTTCAAAAATCTTACTAAATACTGGTAAAATTGAGATAGGTCTAAAATTTGATATATTGTCTTTGTCACCAGATTTAAATAGCGGTATTATTTTACTCACTTTCATTAGATAACTTTCGATACATGAAATTTTTAATACTATTATTATTAAATTAAACAGTCTCAATACTAATACATATGTATATATAATTGGAAATAAAATTTGAACAAAAATATATGTTCTTAATAAACGACAAATATATTTTTATTAATATTAACCGAGTGGAAATACAAAATAAAATGTCATTGAACAACAAAACTATAATTACGTGTGCCTTAAAACAACACAAAATTGTCAGTGGCACAGTAGTATTACACCTGAATGAGTAAACATTTGCTACCATAATTAAAGTTCTAAACATTTCTCAATACCATCTAATTATTTAAAAAAAAAATTAACATCAACAGGTAACATGGGATCCGGTATTGATCACACAACAACCCGGGGCGAAAATGTCGCGGATCTCATTGAAGATACACTGCAAATTCTAGAGCGATACGGCGGGCCGGATGCATTCATAAACATCAAGTATATGGTACCAACATACGAATCATGCGTTCAGAACTAACGAATATGACCACATAACCGTGAATAAAAATGATCTAGAGTTTAGAATTGCCTTTTCAAACACAATTTCTGAACGTATTTATTAGTGAAATATTTTTTTTCACCGTCTGAGAGATTCTGTACAAACCTATTTTATTTACAATGGCCTGGGAAAGCCTAATAAGAATTTTAATAACGGATTTCGTAATTTATTGAAACGCTCGACTGAGATGAGACGAGTTGAAACTTTAGGATTCAACATTAAATGTTTTGAATATTGGTACTGGATGGTGATTAGCAAAAATTCTTGTAAATTAGACACATAATATATAACATGATTTATATCATATAGTATTTGTTAATTTTCTATTATTAATTTTATTTTAGATACCTTTAAAACTCTTACTGAATAGTCGAATATATGCTTACATTTAAATCGTATATATTCAGTTTTAACATGAGTTATTTATACCGGTTATAGAGCAACGAATCAAATTATCCATTTTATCTATATAAATATAAGAAATCGATGGACATTAAAATTTACTTTCCGAATCTAACGTTTTACGAGGCTCAAGTATCAGTTTTACATTTCGATATACATATATAACTTAATTTGTTGTAATTTCTTTCAAATATCAAATATTATTTTCAAAATATATGTCAGTTTTTTATTGCATTCATCAGAGTTCTGTTTACAAATTAGACATTATTTATTATTGATTAAATATTACTAAACTCTAAGTTATAAAGCTTAAAATACTACATTATAATATATAATATGATTGTCTGTACTAAAAGTATGATGTTTAAAATATTTGCTGTTGTGTTAACAATAATTAAACTCTTATAGAGATGAAATAAGCTTTTGCTATTCGATGTGATGCTTCTACGCGACTAATAGTATTTATAGCATTAGATGCACCCACAGTTTCACTCGCTTGAAATTTATAGCCTATATGTTATTCTGATGTATAAACTATATTGCCGAAAAATCTGTGCAACAGTTTTCGCGTGAAAGAGTAATAAACATCCATCCATACTTATAAACTTTTGCGTTTATAATATTAATAAGATTGGTATTTGATATATATAAAAATTGTATCTGTGTGTCTGCTTCAGAATCGTTATGTCCCATATACTTAAGATTCGTATTGTCAATAGCATAGATAACTTTTTATATACTACGACAGTGGTAAACGACCTATCTGATGGTAAATGATTGCCGTAGCCTGATATACCATGTATCATATATGCGCATTATCAACCATATATTGTCTTTATGTTGTTTAAATTGTATTCATATTGATTATTGAACAGTACTAATTCTAAGTTTTGATGGTTGTCTGTTCTGAAGGCCAAGGTTGTTTCGCATCTAAACCGATAGAGGTAGTAGAGGGAGAGCAGGTAGGAACTGTGATACACACTTCCTACCAGCTTTTTAAATTTTCATTTTACGTTGACCAGCGCAACTTTGTCTGCATTACTTGATATTTATCATTATATATCGCCTAATTTACAAAATATATTTTCAAATTATAGCCTATGTATTATTCTACTGTTCAAGCTATATTACTGTAAAGTTTTATCAAAATTAGTTCTGTAGTTTTTGCGTGAAAGAGTAATGAATATCCATCCATATTCAAAAACTTTCATGTTTATATTATATTAGTAAGATAATTATTTATGTACTTGCTTTGACTACCACAGATATTTACTACTAAATACAAACGTAGTTTAGTGTGGATTCATAGATAAAATGTTATTATAGTTTTCTGGAATGTAAGTTATTATATCTCATTCATTAAACATATACAAACTATATAATATATTGATTAAATGCTAAGAATTTGATATCAATATTATAAGTGTGTTCACTAGAATATATTAAGCAATTTGTTAACTTGGAAACCACGTTTGTAATTTGAAATTCCATAAGAATCGGTTAGGTTAGTATCGGTAAACTCGACGAGCTAACACTTTATATGCGGTTTTAAGATGAAGTGACTCGCAACCGTAATAAAATTAGATGCTGCGATCTTATTAATCTTATTAATTGTTCTTATTAACTTTGCATTTTGTTGTTATAGTAATTTATTAATGCGGTTGATCTCGTACTATTTTAATACTCATTATAAATTTGAGTGTATGTTAATTGCGTTGTTTTGTTTGAATTAGATTTAGTTGCCGTTAAATAGTTAACATGTGTTGGTTTAATTTTATTATTAGATATATTAATAAATTTTGTATTTGTTTTATTGGTGTCATAAGATGTATTAATAAATTTTGTGTGATTGTATTATGCATTTTTATTATTTCTGTAATAACCCACGCAATGCCATATAGCTCCAAGCTAAGCAGAGCTTGTATTGTATACTAGATAACTGATATATATTTTTTTGTAAATATTTACATAAAATACATAGAAAATATCGGATCGATAGAATTAATCATATTATGTATTCATAATACTGTATACATCGTGCAAGGAATCGAACCCGTGGCCATTGGAAGCGGTGTGCTAAAATACTAGACCACCGAGGTCAATAATATACATTTACAGGCAAAGCAATCTAACTCAATTATAGCGTTAAATACAGGTCACTCAATATATACGAGTATATGAAGCAATTTACAATCTGGCAAGCTCTGGTTGAACTGTGCATGCATGAATTTGCATTTCATCACCGGCACGGCATGTCCGTGTAATTGAGGTTAAGATATAGTTTGGTGAGCATCTTCCTTTACTGTACTGATGTGAATTTGTATTGAGTAATTTGAATAATTAACGAAATTATTTGATCTAAGAAACTTCGATGTGCGGTAGGTTTTACACATAGCTGTCTGCTGATTGATCTATTTTCGCTATCTTGCCCTTTGCTGTACTCAGTTGTGTGTTCGTATTAGAAGGGTGATCTATAATAATAATCTTAGGACAATTCACACAGCGTCATCTAGATCGAAGTTACGCTAGTTAGAGCTCGTGTTATGGTTACCAAACAACTGATATAAATATATAGAAATTACAGGATACAGAGATTTATAATTTTTATATAAATTTCAAGACCATTAGTAGTCCGAATGAAATAAATATAAATAAAATAGGATATTTAATTTCTTCTAACGACCTCGATCGTCTAACAGTTTAGCCCGCGGTAGCGGATTCGATTCCTCGCACGGTACAAATATCAGTATTCATATTGATTTGGGTCTTTCATATGTATATTATGTATAAATTTACAAAAGTTTTTAAATATGTATATCAGTTGTTTAGTACACATAACACAAGCTCTCCATAACATCACTGAGACCATCAATTCCGATGCATAGTCTGAAGTGGAAATAGAAACATGCAAGAATTCATCTTACATCAAAGGAGACTCTATATATCGACGTCATAACTACACTAAACGCGAAAGGGCCCAGTGTAGCACCAACAGCAAGGCTTTGACATCATTTCTAATATAGCGAGGACATCCTTTGCCAATATTACGAAGCGTATGGATGAAATTGTGCATTTTATTCGCAGTCTTAAAGGTGTCTTGAACATTTTTAAAGTCGGTAAGTGTACGAAGCATATATGAAATTCAACGTGAAAATCGCATGTTTGACAATGATGACTTGCTTTTTGCTAGTAGCCGTTGTTTGCATGTTTGAAATATAATATTCTCAATAACGAATATTCTCAATTATTATTAATTACTAAATTTGTGCTGGTTGGTAGTTTGTATTCACACGTTTCGACTTGTAAATGTGAACTTACAAGGATTGTTTAAAAGAGCAACACACAAGTTTCTTGCTTATTCCTCTTGTGATGAGACAGCTTTTCGATTAAACGGTAGATTTTAAAAAATGTTGACTATTCAAAAGTGCTTAAATTAAGTTTATTTGAATAAATGATTTTCTATTCTATTCTATTCTATTCAATAACTAATATTCTCAGCTGTACCCGCGACGTCCCCGTATTATGTTATGGGGCGTTGACCAAATAATGAAATATTAATTAATCTAATACAAAAACGAAAAATTCATCGTCAAAGCTTCATAAATGTCGATTTTTCATACAAACTTTCATTCCCTATTTTATTTTACCTCTTCAGTGTAATTTTTTCCAAACCTAGTATGGTATATTTCATCAACAGTTCAAAGAAGTAAGCATAAAACTTATATCATTAAAAATAACGATACATCCATACAAACTTTCAACTCTACTTTCATCCCCTTACAACCCTTTTATCGCATTAAACGCCTATATCAATAGTAAAATATAAAAGCCAATAAGTAGCCTATATTCTTTTCTCAGGGTCTAGATTATCTGCTTACCAAATTTCAATTAAATCGGTTCAGTAGTTTTGGCGTGAAAGCTAAACAGACAGAGTTACTTTCGCATTTATAATATTAGTAAGAATAATATTACTGTAGATACATTTATTTCTTTCTTTTTCAATTTTGAATATTAATCTCTTTAAATGTTTTGAATAATGAAAGTATATTATTTTAATTATAACTCTAATCTCATATTTTATATAAATTATATGTTATATAAATACTAACTTATACAGACACAGTAATTTCTGAAACTCTGTAACATAAATGCAAATTAATGAGCTTCAGAAAAACAATAAATTAGTCTACACTTACTTAAAGTCGACAACCAGCACTTACCTGAAACAAAACAATTTAGTTAACAATTAAAAAGTAAATCTCAAATTTGAGATTCACTCAACACTAGAAACTTTATACAATATTAATATTTGTGACAAGTTCCAAAAGTGTAGTGTAGTTATTTTATATTAATATATATAAAGGAGGGTACGGCTTAGGTGTACATTTATCAGTTGGTTCCAGACGCCGTGTGGATCCAAGACGACACCTTTTTAGCCGCCCAGCATTTATAACAGCCGCCGATATACGATGTCTATGGATGTGGCAGAACAAACGAGACAAAATATTAAAAACAAAAACAAAATTATCAACATTCTTAAAAAATAATTACATTCTAAATTCAAAAAAGTTACTTGTTTTGAGAATGTCACATGTTATAA